TCGCTTTCCCGTCCATTCTCATTCCTTGTAATGCCGGCCAGCCTTAATGGGCTGCCGCTTCACCCATTAATCCTTTAATACCTGAAACAGAAATGTTAATTGCCAGAGCGTCTCAGTTTCAGGCAGATCTATTGGTATCCCACACTTGGCCTGCCTGCTAATGAGAGAAGTCAGTTTTAAAGGAAGTTGTCTCTCACTGTGAGTCATGGTTCTATGTCAGTTAATGGACGAGGCAATGGCCTTTTTTTTTTAAGTGGTGGCCATTAATTCGAACAGACAAGCTAAGATATAAAAATAAGATGACCCATAGGAGGATTGCACCTATACTAGAAGACTGTAGTTGTATTTGGTGTAGTGGTTAAGAGCGCAGACTCTAATCTGGGAGAACCAGGTTTGATTCCCCGCTCCTCCACATGCAGCTGCTGGTGTGACCTTGGGTCAGTCACAAGTTCTCTCAGAGCTCTCAAGAGAGCCCCACCTACCTCACAGGGTGTCTGTTGTGGGGAGGGGAAGGGAAAGGGATTGTAAGCCAGTTTGAGACTCCTTTGGGTAGTGAAGGGCGGGGTATAAATCCAATCTCTTCTCTCTTCTTCCTTTCTTGTCAGGATTATTCTCTGTGGAACCGTCTGGGTGCCACCCTAGCAAACGGGGACCGGAGTGAGGAAGCCGTGGAGGCCTACACGAGAGCTCTGGAAATCCAGCCTGGCTTCATCAGGTCCAGGTACAATTTAGGAATCAGCTGCATCAACCTGGGAGCCTACAGGTAAGGCTGAGCGATTCAGCACCTGTGCGGAGAAAAGCCGCTGTGCTGCCCCATTCCCTTGTGATGGAGAAGAAGAAACCAGGGTGGGGGTTGGTGTGGAGAGAAGGAAGCTTGCTTTGGGGGGGGCTGGGGCCACCAAGGTGGGGAGCAGGCTTTTTCCTTACATGGAGAAGTAGAAAGGATGCACTTGGAGAACACCATTGGGGGGTGACCAAGGGCTGAACTACACATTATGATTTCTTAAGTGTTTAGTGTAAGTAACTGTGATGGACTACACTTTAAAAGCAGGTTTCTGACTGCATCATATTCAGAGAGCTGGGAGATTAAGGGTTAATGCCTCACTATGAAACACAGTTTGATTGACAGGCAGCTGCCTGCATGCATCCCCCCCCCCATCGGTCAGCACCAGCTGAGGAGAACTTTAAGAGCAGCTGAATGCTGGGGAAAGGGTCTTTTCTCCCTTTTCCTGTCTCTGGCCTGTCAGTAGCCAGACAGTTGGAGCTGCTGTGTCTGCAAGAGGGAATCAGACAAAGTCACACAACTCCTTGCTCTTACCGTATGCAATAAAATCTGAGGGAAAGTTCAAAATAGGAACTTGTAGCGCAAGTGTCAGCCAAGCTGAAAACCGTTTATTCACAGTGTAAAGAACGGAGGATCAGGTTTGGCAGGAGAGATTGGTCAGTAGGTTAAAACTGCCAGTCTAGCCAAGCAGAAAAGGAATCTCGCTTCTGAGAAACGGGGAATTTTTCCTACTCTGTTATTCAGTGGGTTCATCTCTGACAGAACCCCGGGTTTGTGAAAAAGAAAGTGGTCTTAGACACCTCCAGAGTGTAAAGGAATACTATAATCTCACCGTGACTTTTGGGGGGGGCAAGTTTAGGGGTCAGGATTGCTTTATCGGGGAAGAAAACAGTGTGTGTGTGTGGGGGGGAAGATGTTAACCTTTCTCTTCCCTGTCACTATCTTGCTACAAAGCTACCCCCAAGCTGCTTTACCCCCTCAAGGGAGATCTTCCAGGTATCCTATTTCTTTTCCTCAGTGGGGTAACAGCAGGTTGTGGCCTTGCAAGAAAACAGTAGAAGAGGAACTTTGGCTGGGAAATAACACCCAGACTTTGTGAGGTGCACAAAATTTCAGTGTGGACCACAGACACTGAGGGTTTTACAACACTGAGGGTTTTACAACACTGCCCGTCTTTTGGGACAGATCGCTGTATCCATCTGTGTTTGAAACCCGCAGCCTTAAATCTCCACCTCATGGACCAGGGTGGGTTTAAAAAGAAAGGGTATCAGTCTCGTAAATAAGGGAATCTATCCCCGCTGCCTACTTTTGTTCCCAAACAAAAACAAAGAGTAGCGGATATTCTTTACTAATGTAATTTTTCTCCAGCTCATCTTCCCATAAAGGATTTTTTAAAAATTCATTCAATACATCACCTGGTTCTCCATAGACATTCCCACTTCCCCTTGCTGCTAATGTTTCATTAAAATACAATTCTAAGTGTTTTGAGTGGAGGATAATTAGTTTTCGGTGATGGTTGCAGGATGGCATAGAAAAAGATAAACGAAGGGTAGAGCCAGATAGAAGGGGGTTTTTTGGTTTTGTTTCAGAGAGCTGAAAGTGGTTTGATGGAGCCCGTCAAGCTCACTGTCGTTTCGCTGTAATCTCTGGCTGAATCAAATTGTTTTGCTCAGTCATTAAAAAAAAAACAACCCCAAACCAAACCCATAATTTGGTATAAAATATACAGAATGTCATGATTTAAAACAATTCTTAGACTCATATAAAGACCATGTCATGATTTAATGACATGACTCACATAAAGCCCATTTCTCATTTACTTATTTATTTATTTATTTATTTATTATACCCCGCCCATCCTGCAAGCAGGCTCAGGGCGGCTAACAGTGCGGTACAATGTACCTAATTGGCATACCCCTAAAAGTCTTAAAACTATATGAAACCATATAAAACATACTCATTCAATACATAAATAACAATTAGCAGTAAAGTGCGTACAATACTGAAGAACAGATGGCGTGCTTTCAGATTTCAGCCCACCTTATTCGTCTAATCATCATCCCCCATGCAGAAAGGCCTAGCGATATCCCTAGGCCCGCCCCAGGATCCAAGCATTCATTAGGGTCGTTGATGGTAACAGGAGTGGCGGCTCCTATTGGAAGGCCTGGTGGAAGAGCTCCGTCTTACAGGCCCTGTGGAACTGTAATAGGTCCCGCAGGGCCCTGATCCCCTCCGGGAGCTCGTTCCACCAGTGAGGAGCCGCCACAGAGAATGCTCTGGTCCTGGTACTGGTGAGTCTTGCATCCCTGGGGCCCGGGATAATCAATCAATGTTGGGCCCCAGACCGTAGTGCTCTCTGGGGTATGTATGGGGAAAGGCGGTCCCTCAGGTAGGTCGGTCCCTGGCCATGTACTTTTGTATTGCTAATAGCTAGTAGAAATCGTCTCAGAGGTTTTCTAATGCTTGGAAAACCTGCAGAACCTGTTTGACCAGAGATGATAGTCAGGTTGGGGGAAGGCTTGGTGGCCCCTGTTGTGTCCAGACACAAATGGCAGTGATGGGAAATGCTGTCAAGCTGCAGCTGACAAATGGTGACCCGGGTAGGGTTCTCAAGGCAAGAGACGAGCAGAGGTGGTTTGCCCTTGCCTGCCTCTGCGTAGCCACGGTGCCCTCCCTTGTACTAACCAGGGCCGACCCTGCTTAGCTTCCGAGATCTGACGAGATCAGGCTAGCCTGGGCCATCCATGTCACAGGGCAATACATGCATATAAACTCCTAGTAAGTTGCAGCAGACTTATAGAGACTCTGCAGGGCTTTCAAGGCAAGAGATGAACAGAGGAGATTTGCCATTGCCTACCTCTGCATAGCAACCCTAGACTTCCTTGGTGGTCTCCCATCCAAGTACTAACCAAGGGCAACCCTACTTTGCTTCCAAGATGAGACTAGCCAGGGCCATCCAAGACAGGGCCAAGACACAGATAGTGGCACTCTTTTCATCCTACAGCAGTCTTTGTTGACCTCGCCAGACCCAGGACTCACTGAGCTGTGAACATATGAAAGTTGTCACCTGACAGGAAGAGGGGGACCCAGAATTATGACACCACGGGGGTCAAGGCCAGGACCTAGGGCAGCAGACCGGTGACAAGCCAAGCATTAAGAGATGTCGCATAGGGACGAACAAACCAAGGGTCAGAACCCTGGTGGAATCCTTTCCACCACTGAGCTTCCTGGCTTTGTCATCCTACTATAGGAAATGTGGCTCTCTGTAAGCTTGCGGCAAGTCCTTCCGGAAGGCAGCGGAAAGGGGGCAGTTCTGTACGGGTTTGCAAAACTAGCAGATAGGGCTGTGTGATCCATGTGAGGGATGGCTCGAAGACCACTAGCAGCACTGGATTTCTTCCCTATGGAAGATCAGACAGACAAGACCAGGGATCCCCAAGGCTGTGGCACCGACCGACACCTTTCCTGGCGCCCACCAAGTGTTTGTAGAAGAAAGTGGGTGGAGCTGGGTGGGGCCTTTGCCCAGCAAGGTTTATAATTGGCTGAGGGGGATTTTTCCCCAAAATGTTGCTTTGGCAGCAGCTGCCACCACAACAACACAAGAGTCGTCCCTCTGTGACTGAAGGCAAACCGTGGGAAACGTTTTGTGGCTGGCTCCAGCTCCCATGGCAGCCATTTTGTGGCTGTGCCCGCCACGCTGTGTCAGAATCCAGAAAGGTTGGGGTCTCCTGGACAAGACAAGTACTCTAGATCAGGGGTGGCCTAAACTTGCTTAACGTAACAGCCACATAGAATAAACGTCCGATGTTTGAGAGCTGCAAGACATGAACAAATATTACACACACATTTTTTATGGAAAAATATGCAAATTTGCCAGTTTGGTGTAGTGGTTAAGTGTGTGGACTCTGATCTGGGAGAACCGGTTTTGGTTCCCCACTCCTCCACTTGCAGCTGCTGGATGACCTTGGGCAAGCCATAGTTCTGTCAGAGCTGTCCTTGAAAGGGCAGTTCTTGAAAGGGCTCTCTCGGCCCCACCCACCTCACGGGGTGTCTGTTGTGGGGAGGGGAAGGGAAAGGAGGTCATAAGCCGCTCTGAGACTCCGAGTGAAGGGCGGGGTATAAATCCAATCTCCTCCTCCTCCTCCTCTTCTTCTCATTAAATCTGACTGTGTGAAAGAGCCACATGTGGCTCCCAAGCTGCAGTTTGCCCACCCCTGCTCTAGATGTTGTAAGCAAAGCTTGGTCGGCTTTATTCAGAGGAATTCATCCAGAGACTAGGACAGGAAGCAATGGTCTTATCTGTCATTTTTTCATGTTACAGAATGGCTTGTATCAGGGTCATACAATTTTAACAGCTGTCTTTATGTCACACACAGTGTACGCCACCTATTTACTGATCTAGAGGGTCAACCCAGTGGCTCCTGCTCTGAATCCCAATATTCAGAATTCTTGATTTGTATTAGGCAGCTGATAACAACCTGTCACTGCCTTTATGTCAAAGCAAGGGCTTGGGTCCAATGGAGCGGATCTACAGATGGAAGGATTTCCATCCAGAGAGCGTGACTTTCTCACTTCTCCCTTTCTGCTGCAGCCTTCTGCCCTGAAATGCTGTTCCCCATTTTTCAGCAGAAAGGGGGGGAAAGAGAGGCTGATTTCGCACTAGAGCTGCCGCAGCTTCGATTGTGAAATTGACCAATAGTATCGGGGCAAACGGCGGCGCAACATCGAGGCAGCTCTAGCGCAAAATCAGCCAGAGTCACGTTCCGCAGATGGAAATCCTACCCACAGAAATGCTCCCTTGGATCCAAGCCAAGATCATGTTGCCGACAGGACAACTTTATTAAACAGAGACCTTCAAGTGAAAGCAAGAGAAATGATTGTATACGCCACAGGCTACACAAATTCTGATATATCAAACCACCGTCAGCTCTCAAGAAACCTGCTCCCTGTCTCCAGTGTACGATATAGTCCAAGTGTCCCCTGGGAAAAAGAGCTACCATCCATCATCAACCTGAAATGCATCCAGTTGTTCCATGGATTATAGGGGAAAGCAGTTTTATAGACAGCGGTTGATTAAGAAGATTATGGGAAGACTCTGGATATTTGTAAGCAGTTGGGTGACAGTTTCATATGGATTGTCTTACATGAGAAGCTTCTGGCAGGGAATATAGAGAAGATAATATAGAAAAGGGGCTTAGACTGATTCATGGGGGAAAGATCCATAAGTAGTTACAAGCCCTGGTGGCTAAAGGGAACCTCCACATTCAGGGGCAGTCATTCTCTGAATCCCAGTGGTAGGCGGCAGCATTGGTTGAAGAACTTGGACCGTGTGCCCTGTTGGCCATCTGTGGCCACTGGTTGGCCACTGTGTGAGACAGGATGCTGGACTAGAAGGACCTCTGGTCTGATCCAGCAGAGCCCCTCTTACGTTCTTGAGAGACATTAATCATGATCACGTGTTACAGATTGCCACCTGGGATCCTGATCTTGCAGAAAGTTGACCCACATTTTTGTGTATTTTCCCCCTCTTCCGCACCACAGAGAGGCCGTCAGCAATTTTCTCACAGCCCTCAATTTGCAACGAAAAAGCCGGAATCAGCAGCAGGTTCCGCACCCTGCAATTTCAGGTAATATCTGGGCAGCTTTGCGAATCGCTTTGTCTATGATGGACCAGCCAGAACTTTTTCAAGCTGCTAATGTGGGCGACCTGGATGTTCTATTAAGAGCTTTCAATATTGATCCCTGACAGACATAAACACACGTACACAAACCAAGCCATCCAAAAATCAAAAATGGTTTAATGACATACAAAAATATAAATATCTTTCGATTCCCGGTTTGAACAAAAGACAGACGCATCGACGTTTTCCAGCTGAAAGGGTTTCTGTGGGATTTTACCAGGTCTCCAGACAGGAAGTTTTTAAAAAAGCACAAAAGTTTGTAAATACCACCTTTGCTCAAACTTTCATGGTGGATTCAAGCGAACAGCTTCGTGGTGTTCATGGGATTCAACGGAAACGTCACTGAAAGAAACTGCATTCCCTACGATGTATACCTGTACAAAGAGAGTTTGTTTCTCTTAAAAATTCATGCTGTACCTTTAGAAGAGCACCCAAGGGTGTGTTTGGGTAATACTTCCTAAGGAGCCATACAGGCCCACTGGAAATGCAGTCTTGGAAATGCACCGTCTGCAGGTGGGGAGATGCTTCATCAGCTTCTCTCTTCCAGATTCCCTACAGATACAACCATCAATGCATGTTCGCTGCCTTGCCTCCCCTTCCCATCAATGTATTTACTTGCTAACCCGCCAGGGCTTAAAAGTACCTTCGCCGAATTTTCGTACTCCAGGAGTCTGATTTTGTGAACCCTTCCGTGGTGGAAAGCTCGAACGCACGGAGAATTTGCGGGTCAAATGACATTTTTGTAGAGCTGTGTTTGTGCAAACTTAAGACAGCTGCTTGCACAAGTGGCTGCATTTTGTAAGAGCAGGGCTGGCCCTTAAGAGGCTGGGCTCCCTGGGCCCACCTGCATCCCATCTCCCTTTTCGAAAACAAACCTGGTCTCCCCAACTCCTCCCTCTCTTCGAATGATAGTCTGTTGCTGCTCTTTAGTGGTCGGCCATTCGTTTTTGGCCGTTCCAGAGGAACGGTGCCATGGGACGCAATTTGGCATTGCCTAGCAATGTATGTGCAGTCACGTCCAAGGTGACCCCACACACACACACACAGTGTGGTCAGGGAGTGTTTTAGGCAACTGCTGGGCAAATGCCCCATGCTTCCTTCCCCTCCTTCCAAGAGGCAAACAACCTCTGGCCAGTGGTGTTGTGGCAGCTGGGACACCAATAGGGGCATCCTGCCTGCTGAGCGCCTGTCCTGAGCAGAGCTCACAACAGAATTAGTATCTATGAACATAATGCACTTTAATCTAGCTTTCTTGCTTTTTCTTTTTGGGGGGTGAGGGTGGGAACAGGCCCCTCTTTTATGCACTTTGACTTTAGGAGCAAAAGGTACAGATACCGCTGCGTTGACGTAAAGGACCTTTTTGATCCAAGGCGGCGCTTCCTTCCAGCCAAGGCGGTTTTAAAATGCAAAGAGCGATAGTTAGTCCTCAGCTTTGGATGGAGTAGCAAGAGGGGACGCACGTCAGCCGTGAAAGGACAAACGTCTGTTCCTGCAGCCTCCTGCAAGGAATTGGAAGCAGACCTTACCAAAAAGCATTCCAGGTCGAGACGAGATTGCAGCATCCTGGATGAGAAGGACCCTCAGTCCTTGGAACTTCAGACACTAACTCAAGAGTTGGGTGTCCCCCGTCCCCCGGCAAAATGTTCTCTTGCACAAGCCCTGGTGAAGCGAAAAGGGGCCAGGCACGGCCGCGATACCCCTCTGCTCCTTTCAACAGGGCTTCCACAAGAGATTGCTTCAGTCCCGAGTCAAGAAGTGCCTCAAGCAAAACCCCTTTAAATATTATTAATTTCAGAGGATGCAAACAAAACCAGGATGCATGCTAGATTTTTAACAGAAGTCTGGTGGTTCCTTGGAACCCTTTCTTCAAGGGATTGGGGGCAAGGCTAACAAAAGCCAGTGAGGGTGGGTCTCTTTGATCCAAGGTGGATGCTTCGAAAAATAAACAGGGATCTTGTAGCACCTTAACTAACAAACAAAAATTCCAGTATAATTTTCCATAGACTTCTCCAAATGTAATGTGTGTGTGTTCTCATTATACTGTCCTTTTATGTAGGATGCATTTTTTTAAAAAAAGTATTGAGAATCTTATTTTACATTGTCCACATTTTTCTTTTTTTTATAATTGATCATGAACAAGAGCAGTTATATAAAAATGAAAAGTAGCAGACGGTGCTTTATACTGTTAAACTTGGAGCTTTGGTGCCAGTTTTTGAAGCACGGTTCGCTCATTATTGGCAGGTTTCAACGTTGCATCGTAGTAATATTTGCTGGCACCGCAAATGGTAGGACCAGTCAACCAAAGCAGAGAACATTTCCTAAATGTAATTTTTTAAATATAATTTTATTTATTGAGTTTTATAAGCCTATATCATACACATATGCAAGTTCAACAATAAATTTACATACATATCTCAGCCTTATACCATACTTCTGAACAACACAGATAAAACATCTCCACTCTATCATATCTAATCTGTATTGATTATCAGTTCATAACTCTGAGACCATTTGAGATTAATTAGCTATGTGATCTGGATTTACCCTAAAGATTATACCTATAGTTCTGTAAGTATGTACTACATCTCTTCTCTCATGTCTTGTCATTTCGTGCTTCTGATATAGGGGTTTGAATTCATATACAGTTTTAATATTCCTTTTATATTTTATTTAGAACCTTTATCTCTACTCCCTCTTTATAATCAATTCCCTGTTAAATGTAATTTTTATAGTAATCCACCCCAACCCCGATCCCACCCAGAAACGTTAACTTGTAGCAAAAGTTTCCAAGAAAATCAACCTCTACTTGGTCATTTTTCTCCAAACTCGAGGCAACGTAGGAGTTGCAAGAAACCAAAAGTTAATGTAGGCTGCAGTGATCATCTTCAGCAGCAGGTAGTTAGTTAGCTAGTTTATGTATTTATTTATATTTGTATCCTGCCCTCCTTAGGGCAGGTGACACCAGTGGAAATACAAAACCTCAAAACAATTTAACAATAAATAGATAAAACAGTCAAAATAGCAGGTAATACAGTACTAGAAAATATATACAAGGTTCCAGCCATACTGAATGATTTTAAAAAACCAGGCCGTAGAACCAAGAGCGATGACAGATCTCCTTGAAGGTGTTTCGGATCCAGCGGGAAGGGGGGGGCCTCAGCAAGGGAGGCCAAATTATTGGGCGCCTGCCACCTCAACCAAAGGCCTGGTGGAACAGCTCCGTTTTGCAGGCCCTGAGACACTGTCATTGATTGGTGTTGCAGGGCCCTGATCTCAGAGGGGAGCATGTTCCGCCGGGCCGGGGTCAGGGCAGAAAAAGCCCTGGCCCCGGTTGAGGCTAAGCGGACGTCCTTTGGACCAGGGGCAACCATAGGGCTGCTAAGTGGGGGCGGGTGGCGGGTAAACCCCCGCTTCGGAGGCCCAACTCCCGCCCCCACGGAATCGGGCCCCAGGGAGAACTCCGCCCCCCGAAGCGCAGTGTGGCTGCATCACCAGAGGGGACGCAACCACGTCGATCACGCTGGGGGCGTGGCCCTGATCGTTGGAGGGAAAACTCTGTGGTTTTCCCTCCGACGATCGGGTCCATGCCCTCAACGTGATCAACATTGCGCGTCACTTCTGGTGATGTGCTGGTGGCGCGTGCGCACGTCAACGGACGGCTCCCGGAGAAAACTCTATGGTTTTCCCTCCGATGATCGGGGCCACGCCCTCAACGTGATCAACGTCGCGCGTCACTTCTGGTGATGTGCTGGTGGCGCGTGCGCGTTTTGCACGTGCGCATGTCAACGGACAGCTCCCAGAGCCCCGCGAGGCTCCCCCGACGGTAAGAAAAATTGACTTGGCAACCCTAGGCAACCAGGAAGTGTTGGTCCGCCAAGCACAAGGCTCTCTCGGGGACCTGTGGTCCAAACCTTGGAAAGTCACCTTTTTTTGTCATCTTCTGGGCGTGGAACAGGGGTCACGGGGGGTGTGTGGGGGGAAGTATTTGTGAATTTCTTGCATTGTGCAGGGGATTGGACTAGATGACCCTGGAGGTCCCTTCCAACGCTATGCTTCTAAGTTTTTGTAAGCTGGACTTGAAAGGGACACCCCACCACTGATTGTCATCCCCAGCAGCAGGAGCTGAAAGATACACTGCTTCTGAACATGGAGGTTCTGCTCAGCTACTCGTACTAAAGAGACATTGGCAGACTGACCTGTGAGGCTGTGCCAAGGCAGAGCACTGAGGCCACTGAATTCCCAGAGAGAGCAGCTATTCAGTAGTAATAGAGATCTTACACAGACAGCAATAAAACATATGCACAGATGTACTCCCTTTTGCGGCTTCCTTTCTCCCTCCAAGTTGTTATGCTCTCAGCATGTAGCTAGAGGAGAAAACCGGTGCTTCTTTTTATGAGGCTGGCAAACACCTTTGCTGAATCTTTTGCTGCCCACAAAACCAAAACAAAACAGCCAGTTTGCTTGCAAGAGGGGAAACCACTATGGAGTAGCTCATTCTAGAATATTGGCTGGGAAGATTACAGGGAAGAAGAGCGAGCCTGATAGGTGATGCTTGGAGCCAGCGGCACAATCCAGGGGGAAGTTTGGTGCTTGGGGGGGGGCGACAGTGGAAGGGCTTCTGGAGTTCTGGCCCCACTGCTGGACCTCCTGATGGCACCTGGTATTTCTGGCCACTGTGTGACACAGAGTGTTGGACTGGATGGGCCGTTGGCCTGATCCAACATTGGCTTCTCTCTTATGTTCTCCTGTTCTCCTGTGCCAGTCTCCTTGAGACAAATGGGTCTGGGCCACGCATTCGGGTCCCAGAATGTGCACGACAGGCCTTTGGGGCCCCGACATTACCCAGTGCCAACCGAGAGCGTCTCTTACAGCGTCATCCCTACAAATGCACATTCCAGGGGAAGGTTACTACCTAAAGGTGGTGCTCCAAAAAGCTAGCTTGCTGTTCCTGACCTTCTCACTCAGGGACCTTTGATGGGCTTCCTAGAAAACCCAGAGTTCTCTGGAAGAGAACTTGAAAACCAAGGTATATTTATTTTGATTTATAGCCCCCCTCCCCACATAG